CTTCTTCCCCCTCCCCCAAAGGGTAAGCCTTCAATGCCAACAACGGCACCGAGAAAGAAGTCACGTATGACCCTTTTTCACACTTGCGACCATTGCTCACGGGATTAAAATCTAGACGCTTGGCAACTGGCATGTATTTAGGACGGCTGCAGTGGCCCGGGAGGGGGGGGTGTCACATGATCACATTTTGAGACCTCCCAACAAAGTCAATGGGGAAGCCAGATTCACTCAGCAACCAGGTGATATTACCTTAACCTCATTACCTGTATCACTGTAGTGATTCACTCAACAACTGTGGCAAGGAAAGTCGTAAAATGGCGGCAAAGGTCCCTTAATTTGTAATTAACTGTTAAAATGAACAACTGTTTGTTATTGTTAAAATCAACAGCTTGTTAATTTGGGGCAAAATTGTGGCCGTAATCGAGAACTATCCTTACTAGGGAGGTATATTTGAAAAACACATGCATGAACCCATATAATACAGGTTATCTGCAATTAAAGCCATTTGCTTAGCAACTGTTATAATAGAATTGGGGCTGGGGGTGGAGAAAGCCTTTTGATCAGTCACACTTATGACTGTTGCCGCATCCCTAGAGTCACCCAGACAAAATTGGCAACTGGCATGTGTTTAGGATGACTTCCGTATCCGGAATGTGATCACCGCTTACAGCTTGATCAGCTGACTTCCAACAAATGGGGAGAAGCCAGAATTGCTTAACGGCCATGTGATTCCATTATAACAACCATGACAATAAAGGCCATGAAATTGGATGCGATTTGCTTAACAATGGTCTGGCTTAGCAATGGAAAGTCTAGTCTTGATTGTGGTCGTAACTCAAGGTCTGTCTACCTGTAATTCCTTTTGGAAGGTCTCTCCTACTACCAAAGGTAGAAGAATCACGCTGAGGAATGTCTATCCAATTTTTACATTTCCACGAGCAACGCAAAACATCATTTCAGATATATTTTGAAACTAGCTCGAGACCCGTGCTTCGCTACGAAACCATGTGGTCGGGCTTAGATTTGGGGAGGAAAATAAGAAAAAAAAATCTGCCTCAGTCTGCCTATCAGCATCCATCAGTATTCATCTGGCTAGCGTCCTGTCAGTGTATGAGAAAGTTGAGGGGTGTTTGGAAACCGTAACAGTATTTGTTGCGTGAGCAAGAAGGAGACAGCAAGGAGCCTGGGCATGGCTGAGCTCAACTGTTCTGTACTAAAGCTGCTTGGTGCTCTGAAACTGAAACTGAAACTCCTCTCCTCTGCTTGTGTTTTGCATTTGGAACAGATTTCTTTTCAGGTGGGGAGGGGGAGTAGAACTTCTTAGCATCAGAGCGTGTTAATAATAATAATATATGAAATACTAATGCTCTGATGGTCATTTCGAAAAATCCTTTCTTAGTGAGCTCCTAGAAGCCAAGAGGAACATACGTGCCAAATTTCAAGTTTGTAGGCTTTACAGTTCTGGAGATTTTGTGATGATGCATGAGTGGTATTTTGCTTTTAATTATATATATATAGATTCCACATTAAGCAAGATCTGAATCAGTCCACCCTGGTTAGAGATAGTTATTACAGTCAGCAAAAGTATGGTTCACCTCCAAAGAATTCTAGCCTTTATTTAGACTCAGAGCTAATCAAAATTGTCAGGGTCTATCTTGAGAGTCATTATTATTATTATTATTATTATTATTATTATTATTATTATTATTATTATTATTATTATTATTATTATTATTATTGCAGGAAACACATCATTTTTGTCAGGCTGACTTGGGTTTTTGTGCAAAGTGCCAGTGGGAACACACCCCAAAAAGGAGGTATAAGGAATTGAATTCAATCTCACTGAACTCCATTTCAATGTACATTTAAGGTTGAAACTAGGTTTCATTCCCTTTAAACTGAATTGAAAAGAGATTAAATAACAGTTAAAGGGGTTACTCCCCACATGTTGAATGCTTTCCAACGTGGTGGCAAATTTGCAGTTTTCCTAGGATTTGACAATCTCCTACCCAGCATGTCAGCCTGCGTGATGCATTTCTTTGAGTGAAACTGAAAAACTAATATATTTATTTACAGGGTAACTACTCTGAAGTGCACAGATTGTTTTCTTTTTCCAATGATTGTAGCAGAAACACAGATAAACAACTTACCTTCCACTGCAAGGAATGGAACCACTGGTCTCTCAGGTAACTGTTTGCAGCCTGCAATTTTAATGAGAGGAAAAGAAAAATGGGGTTTGCTTATTTGCCAATGAGCTTATATATACTTTTTGGAAGTAAAAATGATAAACCCATCTGTGGATAAGTAAATCCTTTTCTTAACTAAATACCATGAAAAATGTGCCACCTGGAATAAGCCAACCCTTGAAATTTTTCTATTTTAAGTTTCACAAATGGCTTATCCAGGAGTGGCACATTTTTCATGTAACTGGTTAAAAATTCAAGGGTTGGCGTCTACACCAATGGGCTTATCCATGAACATTTACAGTAGATGAAAAAGAGAGTTATTCAGTTGCATTTACAACACTTTTGAAAATTCACGGGCAATTGTACAATATAGGTACACAGAGTCAGAATGGCTTAATTAGGCTCTTAAAAAATCCTTGCTCAGTGCACCAATCTCAGTCAAATGCAGTGTTTGAGCTTATCCAGAAAAAAAAATCATTACATCATTTGTAGCATGCAATTTTTATGATTGGAAAAATTTTCTCTGTATTCATTTGAATTCTGCCTTCTCGTAACTTCAGCCCATTATTAAACTTTACCCTAGTTTTTCCGTGAAATATTTTTGCTAGAATAAGAATAAAACCAAAAGGCTATGCTTATTCACACACAAAAAGGATGAATCACATTTTATCTAGCACCCATTGTTAGGACTTATCAAGTTTGTTTTTTCCTTTTGAGTATACCTAATTGCCAGGAATAGCCTTCAAAATGCAGGGAAAACACTATACTGCAGAGCCAAATATAGATTATGGTCAAAATTAGAACTTGGCCAACTTTTGCAATTTTCCAGAGATAAAATAACTAACTTGCTTTGAAAGTTTTTTTTTCTCTGAACACCCCTTAAGCAAGATGTAAGTGGAACACAACCCATAATTTAATTTTCTCCTGCCTCAATTATCTTCACCATTATTCACTGTTTTTCAGGGGACCAAAATGCTTCGTTATTTCATCGTACAAATCTCCCAATGACTTGTTAGCTTCATATAGTCTCTCCTAACCCCAATGCCTCTGATATAGTCACTCATTACCAGATTTGTGCCAATTTCTGGGAGCAACTTCTCATATCTGGAACATATCCTGACTTGGTTATCCTGTTGTATGTAGGAAAAATGTACACTCCATTTATGTACGGGAAACATATGGGAGAGAATCCCATAAAAAAAGTAGGGGAAGAGGACGTTTGGTTTCTATAGGTGGATTTTCTGACCTCTTACAAGAGAAGCAGTCCTCCAATTTTGAGGGGCTGCCACAAAGAAAAGGGAGTCCAGCTATTCTCCAAAAGCCCTGAAGGCAGAAGAAGAAGCAACAGATGGAAACTAATCAAAGAGAGACCCAACCTCGAACTAAGGAGAAATTTCCTGACAGTGAAAAACAATTAATCAGTGGAACAGCTTTCCTCCAGAAGTTGTGGGTCCATCACTGGCGGTTTTAATCTAATATTGGACAGCCATTTGTCTGAAATGGTATAGGGTGTTGGACTAGAACAGTGGTCGCCAACCAGTGGGCCAGGGACCACTGGTGGTCTGCGAGAAAATGTTGGTGGTCCACAGAGAAATGTCACCCCCAAAGCAATTAATCCAGGCTGTGCGGGAACACAAGGCTGCATCGCCCACATGGCCTGTGGGAACACAAAGCTTCTGTCGCTTGCATTGCGAACAACACGAGGTAGTGAGGGGAGGAGGGGAACTTGCCCCACTCGCCCCATGCGCTTCACGTGGCCACCGGGCTGCTTCTTTCAAAAAAACAATTACTACCCACCTGCCTTCAATCGAGGACCTGTATCCTGCACGAGTCAAAAAGAGGGCTGTGAAAATATTTACAGACCCCTCACATCCCGGACATAAACTGTTTTAACTCCTACCCTCAAAACGACGCTATAGAGCCCTGCACACCAGAACTAGACACAAGGACAGTTTTTTCCCCGAAAGCCATCACTCTGCTAAACAAATAATTCCCTCAACACTGTTCAACTATTTACAAAGTCTGCACTAGTATTATTGTTAATCTTCTCATCACTCCTTATCACCCATCCCCTGCCACTTGTGATTGTAGGACTGTAACTTTGTCGCTTGTATCCTTAGGATTTATATTGACTGTTTCCTAGTATGATTTGATTGTTGATTGTACACTATGATCATCATTAAGTGTTGTACGTTATGATTCTTGATTCTTAACGAATGTATCTTTTCTTTATGTATACTGAGAGTATTTACACCAAGACAAATTCCTTGTGCATGCAATCACACTTGGCCAATAAAAGTATCCTATCCTATCCTATCCTATCTTATCGTATCCTATCCTATTCTTTTTGCTTCTTTCTTCTTCTGCTTTTGGCTGCACGCAAGGAAAGCAGCAAAAGTCTTTCTTTCTCTCCCCCAAACTCCACCAGAAATGAGTCTTTGGGACCCTGCAAGGCCTCCTCACAAAGGCTCATTTCTGGCAAAGTTTGGGGGAGAGAAAGAAAGACTTCTGCTGCTTCTGCTGCTTTCCTTGCATGAAGCCAAAAGCGTCTCTCTCTCTCCCCCTGAGAACGGAGCGGGAGATGGTATCCTGCAATCCCAAATAAAGAACGATCGATCGGTAGGAAAAAGGGGTGGGGAATTTTCCTGCAGACTTTTTGGGGGATTTTCCCGGGGTCTCTGGTCCTCGGGATTTAAAATTATGAGTTTGGTGGTCCCTGAGGTCCAAAAGGTTGGCGACCCCTGGTCTAGAAGACCTCCAAGGTCCTTTCCAACTCTGTTACTCTGTTAATTCATATTTGACTTTCTCACCACCCTGCTATCTCAGATACTTTCCTACAGTACGCTTCTACTTCTCTGTGTAAAGTGTATACCATAAATGGATTAGAATTACATACTGTGTCATAGCGTGGTTTAAGCTTCATCTACTCAATAAAACAAAACCTGGTGGCTTTTGTACATCATGCTAAGCCGTAAAACCGGTGAAGGCTTGGTTCTGGAGGATAGCAAATACATAATCTATGGTTTTCAAAAATATAATGGTTGAGTTGGCAGAAGGAAAGGAACACCTGGAGGGAGAACATAGCGTGAAAACATCTACTGATCTTTGCAGTTGGCATCCTTGAGCCACGGATGACATTTATGAGCATGGGACTAAGAGATGGGACTTATTTATTAGATAGGACTATAGGTAGTCCTTGACTTACAACCGTTCATTTAGTGACCATTTGAAGTTACAATAGCACTGAAAAGAGAGAGAGTCAGAGGGGGAGAGAGAGTGACAGAGAAAGAGAGAGAGAGAGAGACAGAGACAGAGACAGAGATAGGCAGACAGACAGAGAAAAAGAGTGATGGAACACACCCATCAACCTACTTTCACGAAATTTATACCATTATGCTATTTTTTATTTATTTAACCATGTCTACAATCTGGGTGGCATTCAAGAGTGAAGGCAGAAGACAAAAAGAAAAAAGAAATAACCAATAAAATTAAATTGGCAATCCTCATAAGGAAGTCCATGGATAAAAAAAGAATCACACCAAAGGAAAAGAGCCATAAAAAACCAATCAACTCTCGCAGAGCTTGCTTAACCTCCTGGCCCAAATGCCTGAAGAAACACCCTGACCTTTAGGGTTTTGTGAAAGGCTAACAAGAGTTGCAGCCATCTGGTTCTCCGAAGAGATGCCCTTCCACAAGGGAGGAGCGGTGGCAGAGAAGGCTCCATCTGGGTGCAACAAGGTGACTCTGACTCAACCACATGCCGCCTCCCAGGAGGACATAATCAACGCAAGACATGGATCTACAACGCAGAAGCCTGATCTCATAACTCCAAGGACCTTGCCTGCTCCATCGGGGCCAACAAGTCCAGACTCTTCTGAAGGAACTGGGCAAGAGCCATGCCTCAGGTAAGTCCACAAGAGCCATGCAGCTAGAATCCATCATAGATGCCCAGAAGAATCTTCACAACAACTGGTTCTCTGAAGATGCAATAAGGATGGGAAAATAAACTCTGCCGCTGTGAGGAAGACTCTTGACCATGTCTGGTTACGTCCACCCATTGTGTTCCTCCAGCAGTGCTCAGGACATGTCTGCTATTCCAGATAAATCAGACAAAACACAACTAGATGAATTAGTTCTACTTTACTGCAAAGCTACTTGAAAAGAATCTTGCCAATTTAACCACAAACTTTTAATCACCCAATTAGGGAGGGTCGTTCCTAAGTTTCTTCCTCCCACCCGTTAAGCCACTGGAGGCTCCTGCCTCTCTCTTCTCTGATGGTTTCCTAGGCAGCAGCTCCTCCCTTCTTTCCCCAAGATCATCCAAACATTCCACGACAAAGCATTTCTTATGATGCTCCATCACCCAGAAATCCTTTGATAACGAAGGGGCCCTCTGGGATACCTATGAATAATAGGTGCAATCTGATTCAAGGATATCATCATCCTCTCATTCCAAGCTGCAGCAAAACCTGACTCGAACTGGGTGTCAGAGCCCCATAACCCTTAAATCACCTCTGCATCCCAACCAATCCATTGGGTGCTTAGGGTGAACCAATCAAGTAAGTTATACTTTGTAGGAGAAGCAGCAGCAGAGTCTGGGGCAGAGTCAAGAGAGGACTCCACCTAGAATCGTTACATGTCCACAAACATTCCAAGTCCAGCCCCTCTTGAATCCCATTGAGTCTTATCTAAGCATCAATTTACTGCCGTGAGTGTGGTGGCGCAGTGGGTAGGATGCAGTATTGCAGGCTAATTCTGTCGACTGCCAGGAATTCAATCCTCACTGTCTCAAGGTTGACTCAGCCTTCCAAGGTCAGTACAACGAGGACCCTGATTGTTGGGGCGAGATGCTGACCCTGCCTTAGAGAGGGCTGTAAAGCACCGAGAAGCAGTATATAAGTCTAAGCATTATTTGTATTGCTGACTATTAGTTGATTAGATTATTGTGTATAGGTTTTAGCAATAAATCTTCTTAAACTGGAATTCAATGCATGCTCCTGATTCTTTGCACATGA